GCATTGCAGTGATGCTATATTTATTTTAGTACTTATGTATATATATAGACTTTATAAGCCCTTCCCACATTTATAAACCTTTCCCACACTTTAAAAAACCCTTCTAATGTTCTTCACCATTTTCTAAATTTGTAAGCCAAATAAAATAAAAATAAACTCATAAATCTAATTTAAACAACATACATATATTGTATGGTGCAGTATATATTCACCTGCTAAAGAAATACATACTGTAAACATTATATTTGATTACATTTAATATTCTTTTAATGTGTTAGAATTAACATTTTTATGTATTTTAAATTTTTAGGGTAAAATCATTAAAACCATAAATACTACCCATATAAATATGTATATAGTACTCCACCGCAATATACTGCAATACAGTGAAAAATCCACAATAAATAATTTAGATTAATATTTTTTGAAGACCTGCAAAACAGTGAATCTGCAGAAGTCAAATTGTGAAGTAACAAAGGACTACTGTAGTACTTTTTATCCAGTTTTGCTTGCAGAAGTATAGAAACTTTTATTAAAAAGCTACCACTGTCTCTCATGTATCCATCACGCTGGTGTGCCACTTAGAGAGGTATTAGATCATGAACACTTTTGTTCCTCAGAGAGTGAACATGCAACAGCTTTGCTGGTAGTTTTCTTTATACGTTCATATGCTCCACACACTGTTCCAGAAAGGATGTAAGGTTTTCCTTACTGAATTTGCAGTCTGAATTTATTACCAACCACTTCAGTGAAAAAAGCCAATCAAATTGCATGCTATCTAGATAATAGTAATTTGATTGTTTCTATAATTCAACTCCTTTACCCATTCTGTAGGAGGTTGTAGTGTTTGAAAAGACATTCTCACTTGGCCTGTGCAGACTACAAGGAACTTAACTGTGATTACCTCAAAACCGTTAGGCCCAGGCCCTAGCACTTACTGAAAACACTGACTGGATACCAGATCCTGTCCTGAGTAGGTCTTCAGAAACACATCTGGAACCTTCAAGGCCTACTTCAATGAAATAGTGTCACTTTCAGTGACACCAAAATGTTATTTTCTGGATTGTCTACACGGGGAAGTAGTGTTGCTCAAACTTTTCCCCACAATGCTTTGTCTGGGGCCCTGTACCTCTTCATAGACGACTTCACATTATAAATATTTGTTATAATAATTATTTACTTATAATTATTTATTATTTGCTTTGTTACAACACAAATTTGGCAGACACAGAGGCTGGGAGTTCAGTCCCTGGGCCTGCTGTACCAGACCCGCTACCGGGGCAAGCTGAGATGGCGATTGAGACTTGGCATGGTGCCCCACCTGTAATCCCACCACTTGGGTCACTATGAGTCCGATCTATGCAGTGAGACCCTGTAGACCTGTCCTAAAATACAATAAATAAATAATGCACTTCCTATAGATTCCCTTAAAACAAACAAACAAACAAATGAATTCCGAGAGGACAAGTGAATCTTACTCACTACAATACCCCAAACTCTAAATAATGGCTGGCATTTAGCAAACGTTTTATAATGGGACAGACTTTCTGAAATTACCCTGGTGGCCCCTATAAGTCAATGTATACTTCTTAAGCCATTTCCTCTAAAAATGAGAAAATATCTTTGAAGCGCTATATTTCATTTACTTTTAAAATTCATGTGACTTTTAAATCTTCATCAATTATTTGGCCCTTAATGTGCTGCTTTTCTGAGAAACACTGATACTTCTGGGGTGTGTATCCTGGTTTTTAAGGACACAACTGTGTACAACATTTAAGTTAGAAGTATGACTCTACAAACTCCACCTTGATTTTTAGCTAATGTCTTAAACTTGAGTTAGCACCTGAAAAATGGAGCTAAGAAATTGCCTCTAAGATTTTTTTAAAATTAGCACATTTGTACATAATGTTTACATTAGTACAAAATGTTTACATTCCTCGTGTGAAGTTGGTACAAGCGTGTGACATGTTTTAATTCCTTTCTTTTCCTCCCTTTTCCTCCCTCTGCCCTCCCTCTACCTCTTGGCCCCTTTCCCATCTATCTCCCGACTTCCTATCAGCTGTCTTTAATTTTGATCATCATTTATAATTTGGGTTTCTCGTGTGAGCGAAACGCTGTGCTATTTAAGCTTATGTCTCGATTTTTTTTCATTTAGCATTCTACATCCATTTTCCTACAAATGACTCATCTTTCTTTATGGCAGAATAGTGCTGCATTGTGTGCAAATACTACATTTTTATATTCATTTATCTGTTAGTGGAGACGTAGGCTGCTTCCAAGGTAGAGCTAACAGCAAAATGAAAATTTAGTTAAAGTATTTGGCATACAAAAGGCATTTAATTATTGGCTTTTTTTTTTTTACTATAAAACTTCCAGCTTTCATCCTAAGAAATTTAATTTATAACATATTTTTCTTATTAAGTATACATAAACAAAAACTTTTACCTAACACCCACATATGTTCCAATAACTGAGATTGGATTGTGGCTGTCCACCTGTGGGTACAAAATTCTTTTACTGTGTGTAGTGAATACCTCATATATGAAAAGTCTCTAGGAAGAATTTTTAACCATTTTCAGCAATACCTACAGAAAGGGCCGGGGAGATGGCTCAGTAGAATAAGTGCTTCCCTGGCAAGCGGCCTAAGTTCAATTCCCGGTTCCACCAAAAAATAAATAAATAAATAAAAATAAAAATAAAATAATAATAATACCTACGGAGAAAAATTAAATTGGATTCATTTTTATTACTATTTGCTTAACACAGGTTTACTTGTCCTAGACAAGTAAAACTATGGAATCTGTGATTTATTGCACTGGAGAGACACTCAAAATGTTATGAGACTGATATGATGTGTGAGAATTTAGGAATGGCGTTCTCCAGAATGCATGAAGATTCTCAGTGATTGCAGGGGATCACAAAAGAGATCTTTGGTCCAAAGAAGATGTCTCTGAAAGAAAATAGAATATCAGTTAAATTCAGCTGAAAGCTAAGATACATATTAGCTTTTGTACAGTAGTTAAAAATGGACAGTCATTCCCAGGATTTCAGATACATATAACTTCTTTTTAGAGGAATAAAGTACAAAGGGAAGAGTGAGAAGACTAGATAAGAAAGCAGCAAAGATCCCAGGGGTAATTCATTCTCCTACTTTCCTCCAATTGTCACTGATATATTGTCATTTAGCTCCAAAGAAAAGAAGGGTAATTGAAACCTATTATTATATATAACATTTCATTTTTTGATAGCAGAGTGGGCCATGAACTTCTAAATTCACAGGTAAGAAACAGAAAATTAAACCATTCCTAGAAAGTCATGGGAAAGAAGCTGCTCAAAAGGAGAGAACAGGGATGGGGAAAAGGAAAAAGAAGGAAGGAATGTATGTATGCATGCGTGTGTATGTACATCTTACAAGATAGCTACATAGGGATAGCTTATATATCTTACAAGACATATATAACAGAATATGTATATTCTCTCTATATATGATAACTAAAGTAATTGTACTACTGATTTCTATTGAAAGGAACAGTGTTTACATTACTTGATCAATCTTACAAGCCTATATATGATAATCTGAACAACTACTTTGAAGATAATGAGATTCAATACAATAACCATTGTTAATTTCCTATCATCTTGTTATAAAATTCTGTATTGTTTTTATTCTATTTAAAATAAAAAGTTTAAAAAGTTATTAAATTTCTAGTTTTTATAGATAGGAGAAATGTTTGGAAGTTATTCAGTTCTCTTCTAAAGATCACAAAAGGTAAAATATAAAAATGTATCAAATATGATAATACAAACTGCACATATGTGCAAGGTGGTGTTAAGATTATGACTTAAAAAATACTTAGCAAGGTAAATCTTGCCACTGTGAAGATGGCATTTCAAAGTCAAAGAGAAATTGCTTCTGTATATCTGCACTCTTGTTTAAATCCATGAACATAAATGATGACAAAGTCATATTACAAATCAAATCCAAGTCCATTTTAACAAACTGGTTTCAAGCAACACAGTAAGGAAAAGGAAGGACTGTATTTTCATATTAGTTGATACTTCATTAAAAAAATTATTTATTTGGTACACAGTCTTGCTATGCAGCCCAGACTCATTGTGATCCTCCTGTCTCAGCCTCCCAAGTGCTGGGATTACAGGTGTGTCCCACCGCACCCGGTTTCAGAGGGCAGCTGGGTGCAGGGCCAAGCACAGCATGTGGTACCAGGGATCAAACTCACATCCTTGAGTTTGCCAGCCAGACACTTAGACCACCAAGCTATCTCCCCAGCCCCAACACTTCATTTCTGTAGTACATAAAAGTTAAATCATTTCATGAGATTAATTAACCAAGTTGTGGGTATTATGATTTTTAAACTTTAGTGTGCATCAACGTCACCTGGAGGCTTTGTTAAGGCATATTTGCTGGGTCCCACCTCCAAACTTTCCATGAGATCTGGATGAGGGTCAGAAAACAGATGTACATTTTTTAATGAGCTCAGGTAATGATGAAGCTGATAGTCTGGAAACCTCATTTTGAGAATCAATTGGCTTGGTAGAGAAATATCTTGTTCCAGGTTGAATACCTGGGTTCTAGATTTAGGGTTGATGTTGCTCCATGATATAGGACAGTACTGTTCCTTTGAAATCCCTGTACCTTTCCTTACTAAGATATCTGCCTTTCTTTCCTCACAGGAAATAAAGTGGTATTTGTTGAAAGTAATTTTTTTTCTTTTTTTTTTTTTTTTTTTTTTTTTTTTGGGTCTTACTATGTATTCTTCCTAGTAGTTTTTTGCGGGGAGGGCCGACAGGATATTCAGGGTCTCACTACTAGATCAGACTCATAGTGATCCGCCTGTTTACAGCCTCCCAAGAGCTGGGATTCCAGGCAAGCGCCACCACACCCAATCTCAATTGCTGTCTCAGTGTGCCCCGGGGGCGGGGCTGGCATGACAGGCCTGGGGATTGAACCCCTGGCCCCTGTGCCTGCTTGCAGGTGCTTTAATCTGCTGAGCTATTTGGCCAGCCCTGTGGAAAGTAATTTGGGAAGATTAGTTTCAGTATGAAATATCCAAGATCATAACATTTGAAAGATTCCTCAATATCCAGAGGAACACTTTTAGAATGGAGAGCTAATCTTACTTGTTGATTTATCTGTCATTTTTTATGTTTAATATATATCTACTTTCAAAAAATAATTTGTTTTGAATTTTTATTTAGTTCATTTCTGGTTAACTTGTACATAGAACTAGAAAATTTTTCTTTGACCAGCATTCAACTTTTTGTCTAGGTGATCACTTCATGCTTATGTTAACTAGCACTCCAGCATGTTTTATCTCAAACTTTATAGTAGCTTTTAAATTGATGGTAACCTTGAGGTTCATTTTTTGCTACAAATATTTTTTTTTCTGGAACTGAGCATGGAACCCAGTGCCATCACACTTGAGTATTCTGAACCTCCAGGCCTCCTCGTTTTAAGGCAGGATTTCACTTGAGGTGTCTCATCTGATCTTAGACTTACAATCTTCTGGTCTCAACCTCCCAAAGTACTGAGATGGTAGGTGCCACCATGCCCAGCTCCAATAAATTTTTTAGTAGTGAAAATCAGATGAGAATGTATAATTCAATAGATTGATGTGTTATAAATTTTCTGGTTTTCATGTAGCTTTATTAAATTTCAAACCTGTATTACTTAAACAAAAATTTTCTCAGCAGATTAAAGCATCTGCCCTGCTCCTGGGGTGTACTGACACAGCGATTGAGACTGGGCATGGTGGTGCAAGCCTGCAATCCCAGCTCTTGGGAGGCTGCAAATAGGTGGATCACTATGAGTCCGATCTAGTAGTGAGACCCTGAACACCTTGTAGGCCCTTCCCTAAAAAAAAAAAAAAAAAAAAAAAAAAAAAAAAATCAATTCGTCACACATTGGTGATTCTAGAAAACAGCTGGGATTTGAACAGAATTTACTTAAAAAGATAGTTGGAACAAATGCATTCTGAGGGGGATATCTTTAAAAGATTTTTTTTCTGTATCTAGTTCATAGCAATACATTTAATGATTTCATTTCCTCACCTTGGGCAACAGAGCAATTCACTGAAATTGCAATAGCAGGTCATCTCACATCCCCTCCGATCCCAGAAATGATCTGGGACATTTACATCAACCTGTGTCAGCTCAGCTACTCCTTCCGGAAGGCTGTGACAGTTGCGATCTTTTAGTATTTTTCTGTAGCAAGACAGACGATTTGAGGGCATTGCTTGGACTCCCAGCAGCAAAGTTAGCCCAACGGTGACAAGTAACATAGATTTCATTTTGTCTTTTGGCCCTGAAATAGAAAAAGCAGACTGTGTCAGTCTTGTTTTCTACCAGATGGAATTCATGTGAATATAAAATTCTGTAGCATTCCCCTCCTCGTGGATAAACAGAGATGATCTTTTCTATGGTTTTCTTTGTGTTTCTCCAAGTATAGTTTTCTGACCATCTGTGATAAAAGTAACTTAAATATTTGTTTAAAATCAAATGCTAGGGCTGGGCGAGATAGCTCAGCAGACTAAGTACCTGTTTTGGCAAGCGCAGAGACCAAGGTTTGATCCCCAGTCCCACATACTGTACCAGGCCTGTCCCCAGAGCACACTGAGCCAGTGAATGAATCCAGGCGTGGTGGTGCACACGTGTAACCCCAGCGCTGGGGAGGCTGAAAACAGGAGGATCACTACAAGTCCGAGCTGCATAGTGAGACCTTGTACCGAATACATAAATGAAAATAAATAAATAAATAAAATGTTTGGATTTCATAAAAACAAATCAAATGGGAAATGCAGAGGGGGAAGAGAAGACAATGGTGAGAGAATCTGCATTTAACAAGGTACTTAAACTTGTATGTGTGTCGGTGCCTGTGCATATAGTGTGTGTGCATGTATGCGTGTGTGTATGTGTGTGGGCTTGATTTCCAACACTGTAAAATCAGACAGATTAAAAAAGAAACACGGTGTCTTTACCTTGCGTATCTTACATCTTAACAATAACATTGTCAAAGAACTGAGCTTCTATCCTGACAGAAGGGAAATGCTGATACTCATAGATGATCCCTACAGATTATATGCATATTTATATTTATATTTGGTTAAGTTTTAAAAAATCTTCCAGAATTACTTTTAGGGTCTATTTGTGTTACAAATTTTTTTAATGTCTTTCATTGACATAGACTGTCATCTTAGCTACAGTTGAAGATGGCAACTTGTTTAATTCCTCCTGTGAGCACACCAGTGATGGTGAACCTTTACACCTTCAATGATATAAACAGCCCTCTGTGACACGTGTGTCATAGGTTTGCCACCACTGATAGCCTGGCCTCCAATACTTGTGGCCATAAGGTAGTCAATTCTGATTGAGTTAACATATTCCACTGATATTTTGCTTATGGAAAATATTTTTCTATAGCTTTTGCCCGTCAGTCCTGGCATGAACCCTTGAGCTCATACTAAGCAAGACACATTTCTCTTCCCAGAGATATTTAAGTATACCTTTTGCTTCTAACTACAGAATATCCTCCTCTATGTCATCATGCTTCTTGGGCTGCTGCTAGACATCAGGAAAATGCAGGTTATTTTAGCAAAGGAAGAACAGCAAAGAACACACAGGCATTCAGATCTCATCTTGGGGCCACGTGCTAACGCAACCTTCCTAGCTCGGGAAGAAGGAAAGAAATAAAGGGCATCTGCCATCATGTATTGATTAAGAAAGAAAATGTTGTTGAAACCAAATTGTAGCATGGAATTTTCAGTGATTAGACACATGTTAATGCTGAATTATTTTAGATTACATGGTAGATTTTTGAATGAACATATTAACCATTTTCTTTAAGTTTAAAGAATAAAGAATGTTTTATTACAATCCTGGGCATTTTGGCTTTCCTTCAACTTTACATTCTGAGACAGTCATTTTTGGCATTGCTGATATAGTTTCTTTTCTACTTATTTATTTATTCGGTACAGGGCCTCACTACGCAGTTTGGACTCATAGTGATCCTCCTGTTTTCAGCCTCCCCAGCACTGGCATCACAGGTGTATGCCACCACGCTCAGACTCAGTGGCCAGCTCAGAGTGCCCAGGGGCAGGGCCGGCCTGACATGCGGTGCCAGGGATCAATCCCAG